CTGCAGGAAGCACTCCGCTGAAGCAGTCTTTGCGCGCACCAGCCGTGCAGATGGAGGCGCGAGGCGGCGGTGAGGGCGCCCTTGGCGACATGAGTCCCGACACCTACATCATTGGCATCACCGTGTTGTGTGTTGCATCCTTGTTTGCCAACATCAGCGGCTTCTTCAACCCCTGAGAAGACTGCAGTGAGAGTGGCAGTGGCCATGATTGGTTATTAGTTTCTTTACAAGCATCCATCCCATCCAGCCAGGGATGCGATCTGTGTTCCCTGACGCAGCAGAGGAGGAAGCGAATTGGGGAAGAAATGGAGTTTTTGTCGCAACAGATGGGAACACGAGACAGGCATATTTTCATAGCTGACATGCGCTTTGCAATGGGTCCTGGTTTCAGGGTATGTTTGTTTGGACTCCAAAATATTCGGTCGAAGGTTTTTTGGAGGACAAGAAACATTTTGTGTTGGGCTTGATCGGCTTCATACATTTTGCTCATTGCTGGGGACATTCATTGTTGTCAGCATACGTCTCACTCCGCAATGCTTTTGGCTTGAACTTGAGCTCTTTGAAGGCCGCTCCTGTGCAGCTCTCTTTGTTCCAAAGCTTACGACATGGCTCGCTCCAACTTGCTCGCTTGCGTGCTCTTGGCCGTGGCCTGCTCGACGATGCTCTGCTTCGTGGGCACCACTCCCAGTCCTGCTGCAGGAAGCACTCCGCTGAAGCAGTCTTTGCGCGCACCAGCCGTGCAGATGGAGGCGCGAGGCGGCGGTGAGGGCGCCCTTGGCGACATGAGTCCCGACACCTACATCATTGGCATCACCGTGTTGTGTGTTGCATCCTTGTTTGCCAACATCAGCGGCTTCTTCAACCCCTGAGAAGACTGCAGTGAGAGTGGCAGTGGCCATGATTGGTTATTAGTTTCTTTACAAGCATCCATCCCATCCAGCCAGGGATGCGATCTGTGTTCCCTGACGCAGCAGAGGAGGAAGCGAATTGGGGAAGAAAT